TTTCTGCTTCTACTTCAATTGATTCATTTATTTTGACTTGTCATTTAGGCAAATTTATGTTTTAATTAAGTCGAACAATCACTTTTTGTTTTATCAACACCCAAACAACTTAACTGAAATAAAATTAAGTAATATATGAAAAAAAGAGTGCTATTGTTTATACTAATAGCTGTTCCCACGTAAACCCTAAAACAATTCCCAGACTAATTGAGAAGATAAGGTCCTAACACTTCAAACTCTAGATTTTTCCAGTGATAAACAATGAGTCATTCTAGCTGAGAGGAAGTTGCGAAAAAGTGTATCATAACATTGAAATGAGATGTATTAACCTCAGGTATAAATGTATTACACAGTACAAACATACACTACAGCAGCTGAAATGGAGGTTTAGAAGCCTTTGTACAGGACAATCAGTGTTTTCTCTCGTCTTTAATAAATTCCCTTCTGGGTAAATAGGTTGATCTATACTTTAAACAGTTAACAAAGTGAAGACAAGATCGGGCTGGTGCCAGATGCCCATTTTATTACCTTGGCCGGTAGCCAGTGACTCACTGAATAATGACTTACACTTGTCAAGAGGAAACAAGGCTATTCTTAGATAGCTACTGTAATCAAGAGATTTGAATTCATTTTATATTTATCCAGTATTGCACAACCAGATTGCAACAGACTTCCTGAGCTATTAAAGTTGAGGAAAGATGGTGATCATGCCTCAGGCAAAATCCAACTGTATGCAGCATTCAGCCCTAAGCAGCACTACTGGCAGCTGTCCAAGCTGTGCTAGCCAATGACTCACCTCTCTTAAGAGCTCCAACCATAACAGCCAACATTTCCCCAATATTCCTGATTAAACCTGAATGCTCACGCTTCTTGGTTGGCCAAAAAGGCTTTTATTCTTTTCTTCTGTGAGACAAGAAACTGTAAGACATGAAACGGATCCTGTTTTAGTTTAGTGCTTCAGAAATGCAGATATTTTAACTTTATATCACTCATGAAGAACTGGGAAAAGGCAGGATCTGCTCAGTGTGAGTGGAACATGATTAAAATTCAATTCAGTGTTCAGTGTTGCTGACCTATGAGATGTACTGTCAAAATATAAAACAACATTTATTCCAATTTAATGACTCTCAACTTCATCAAGACTTCATTACGCTTATGAAGAGAGTTTACATTAGGTTCATTAACTTTGTTCTGACATTTTGCATTTTGCATTTAAGTAATTAGTGACACTTAGGAAAGCTGTTTGATAACTTTCCTAAAACAGGCATAGCTAATAATCGGTTGGCTAATTGAAGCACCAGATTAGGATGCTGTAGGAATTAAAAATGTGACCTTTTGGCAACCGGACTACTGTTTTTTTAATGACTTCCCATCTTACTATCCTAAGTATGCAAACAAACAGGAGATAGGATATAGCATTTTAAATCAAGCACAATAGTCTGCTGTATTGGTGCTGCTTCAGTACACATCATTTTTAGCCACACAGCCTGGCCCTTTGGATGGTAATTCTGGTTTGTTGATCAGTCGGTTCAGCACTTTGGTCCAGATTTCCTTTATCACCATCAAGAGGTGAAATTTCAAATCCAATATTTTGTTTTATAACCAAATACCTGCACAACGGATGAGATTCCCATCAGCCTCAGCTTAATCGAGTTTAGTGCAGCAGCAAATGTTACTGTAGCGTGCTTACACGTTAAACTAAGATGGTGAACATGGTAAACATTATACCTGCTAAACATCAGCATGTATGAACACACTAAATACAACCTCACAGAGCCACTAGCATTGCTGTAGACACGTACGCAGCCCTTTCATTATTTTGATTTAGACCAGCCGCAACGCAGAGGGCTCCAGCTAAAAAACACAGGGTTGTGCATCTGCAATGTAACGAATTACTTTGTAACACGAAGGGCATATTTCTACCGTTTACCTCGCAATCATCGCAGCGGAAGCTAAAATAATGCCATTGTGATAAGTTATTATTAAAAAACCACTGTGTGGTGTTTTGGAGTCCGGTAAGCCTTCAAATTCACAGATGTTACTCAAACTGGACTTCCTGGATTGTATTTTATTGTCTCACCAGTGTCACAACTCAACTATTGCAGCCCGTTGCGTTGTTTTAACGCGGGGCTCTCTTTGGTCTGAACGCCCGCTTAGTCTTGTTAAATATGCCAAACTTTACAGCAGAGCAGATGACATTCAAAAATGTCATTAGAATGATTCATACTGTGTGAAATCGCAGTGACGAGTGTTGAAGAGTTGATTCACGTGTGTAGTGTTTGTGGAACACCCACTGAAATTAAATCATATAATAAATTGTAAAGTATTCATAAGTGTGGCTTTAGAGGGTTCATCTTGTGCAAGTCTGTGGGCTAAAATGTTTCTGGTTCAGTCCTACTTTACAACATTTAAGAGAGACATGTTGCAGACATACCACCGTTGGCTGTCAATGCAAAAATACTGGGTAAGGGCTTTGCTAAAGATTAAAGACCCCATGAAACACAAATGATAGTTTATTTCATGGTAAGCGGCTCCATGTGAATAAAAAATGTGAGTTTAACTTTTATGAACGGCAGACTGAGAGTGCACTTTATGTAAGCTACAGTAGGTGACAGTTCAAGCAAAGTGCTGGAAAAGGCAGCAACTGACTAAAGTGTTTGAGGAGGAGGCAATAAAAAACAGAAAAAGGTCATGATACAGTGTGGTCGTTTTTTTTTTTACACACTTTACCACGAAACTTGCTGCGGGTGTACATGTGTGTATCTGTGAATGTGCTTTTTGATGGGTAGCATACAAATCAAACAGTCAGATAAGCCAAAAAAAAATGTACACGTGCTATTTCGGAAATGAAATGGAAATGCGCCCACTTCTTCCTTAGAGATGTCACAATGTTACAGCACAAAGTTACAGCCGAGCCATTATCATGCTTGTTGCATCAGACTTTACCTCCTGGGCAAGCAGAAAAATGAGTTTGACATTGGCACAATTTGGAGCCTCTGCCGTGTCAATGGTAAATGTTATGGTTAATGTTTATCAAGTATTTTTTACTTCTTTGAGTCTGAAAAAGGTCCAATTCCTAAACAATAAATTGCAAACAGAGACAAAAACCTTGACGTTGATACATTTGCCGCAGACTGAACATAATGATAATAAATGAGGAGCTTGTGTCAGATTGAGCAGGTTTAAATCAATCTGCACCGTGATGGCAAGCAGACTATACTTGTATATAAATACCTGACACAACAAACATGCAGTCAGATTCTGATTATTTGGAACAACGCAAATCCTTCAAAAACCCAAAATGCTATTTTAGTCCAAAACAAAGACTATATGATGCCACATAACTGTTTAAGGGGTCATAAGGAGCTTTCAAGTCTTTTTATGCTGTCTGGACTATTCATAGTGTTTATAGCGAGGAGACCTATATAATAATAGCACTACCAGTCTAAAAGGTGTATTTATTTGTGTATTCACAGATCTGTAGAGGTAAGGCAAAAAGGCCTTTTATTGTCTCCGTAACTGCAGCTCAGTTTATTTTATGGCACCTCTGGATTTCAGCCGGTATAAAAATGGCAATGTGGAAGTTAAACAGAGGAGGCAAGAGATGTTGAAGAGACAAAGGTTGCAAATGCTCTGCCAACTACTGCTGTACAGAGAGAGAGAGAAGGGGCTACTGGTTCAACCAGCCAACCGACCAAATCTGTATTGACTTTACCACTTACATGTTTGGCTTTTTCTATTGGAATAATTGGAGAAAACAAGTCCACAATGTAGCTTTTCCCCTTGACAATTTGTACAGAGAAATATCAGATCCCACCCCCCTCACACACAAACACAAACTGACACACACACACCTACACACACACACACACACACCTACCTTATTTTACATTCGGTGCATTGTTGTTCATGAATTTTTTACTAAGTCCTCTGAAGTACTGTGCAAAGTTCATCTGTTGAATTAGACAATAGAGTGTTTTCAACTAATCTTCCTATTAAAGCAGGGAGAAAACGGAGCCAGATCATTTCTGGAAAGGAAAACACAACCTTTTGAAAGCTGTGGTCTTAAATTTAAGGGTCTGGATTGTGACATCTAAAAGCCAAATCAGCTTTAAGTAAATACTTTTTGCAAACCAGTAAAATAATCCAAAACAACATATTATACAATACATGTTCTGCCAACAACTCATATTAATGTGTACTGGGAATACTGTATCTTGCAGTGGGTTTTCATAGTTAAATTGGTACAAAGATGTTCAGTCACTGCACTTTAGTGAAGTTGAATATACAGTGTTTGAAATTGGGAATAGTTCAGTGCTTAGAATAAGAATATTAAAGTTAATGGAAAAATGCAGAATATATGTCTCCATGTTGTGGAGGTGAATTTGTCCGTAGTGCATTCAAGTTCTGCATGCGTTCTGCATAATGTGACATATATAAATGTTTCTATGCACTGTATTTTTTTGCTGTGAATTTCAAGATGCATGAGTGCATCCATATTTTGTGTGAACACATTAATAGGCATTAGAATATTAATATCAATATCACACAGGGTATGATGCAGCTTTATCCCATTTAATTGACATAATTCAGACCTCACTAGCACGTAAAACTAAGAGCGGTCTTTGAATCAGCAAAGTGCTTGTAATGTAATAAGCACTCTCTTCTAAATGGAGCCTTGACTCCATTTAAAAGAGGGCAGAAAATATGTGTGCACTCTTGCTTAAGGCTTTCATCTTGCATATAAATCACTCCAGCAGAAAGTGGGTGTTTGAGCACCACAGATTTCAGGTCTTGGGGCGTGCACTGTATCAGCGGCCAAGGCTGCATTAATGACAGCACTGTGCCACGACTGCATGAAGTAAATTAAAACCAATTCCAAACATTCTGAGAGCAGATAAAATGTTGGAACTGAGACTTTTTTGGCTGATTTAGAAGGTTTACATGAGGTTCTCTTCTTCTCTCCTTTCCCTTTTTCTGCTTTCTGTTTCTGTGTATAGATACCGCGGCAGCTGAGTCCTCTGACGTTGTACAGGTGTGAGCAGTCGGTTCTGGATTACTGCCATGCCCACCTGTCGCTACACCTCAACATGGGCATGGAGCCCCCAACTCGGGTGCTGGGAGGTCCGACGCCAGTCAAGTACCACCCGGGCCTAATGGCTGCCCTCCCCTCCGAGGCTGTGCGGCCTTGCCCCCAGACCCACTCCCTCCACCAGTGAGCTGTGCACACTGTGAGGCTCTGTGTCCAAACTACTATATGTCTGCTGCACACAATCAGAGGAGCACTCAGACGAAATGCAAGGCTGTGTGTGAGGGAACTGGGACTGGTAAAGAAGCAAAGGAGACAATTAATCTACTGCAGAGCATCCCGGGCCCAGGGTAATGAAAATGAAAATATTTCTCAGTGGAAATAGAGGGGTGCAGCAGTATTGATTAGTGAGCTTCTGATCTACCTGACCCTCAATGTCCTCAATTAGAAAAGGGGGCTGAACAGCAGCATGACTTTCCACATTCTGCTCTGCCTCTTGAGGAGTATTAAGGATAATAATTTAATGATTTGTTAATCTTATTAAACATATTTCCTTGACTTCTCCTTATCTGGGCACCTCTCTGCTACGTCAGTGAGTAATCAAATCCAAAATGCTATAAACAGAGCAGGGAAACAGCATGAGAAGCAGTTGAGTAGCAGAAGAAATGAAAGATCAGCCAAGCTAAAAGGTTCTTCTGCTGCTTTGTCTGATCACGCTGTCAGTCAGAGTTCTCTCTCTAACTGAAGTCCCCGTAGAGTTTTTCATCTTGAAAAATGACCCACCCAAATGAAATTACCCAAGACAAGAGAAACAAGTCAGAAAATAACGCACAGTAATTGTCATATAAAATGTACAGCCTACACATCTTGCCGGCAGTAAGTATAATTTACATGTTGACTTTTGATTTCCTGAAATGATTTGTGATGTTTATCACATAATAATTAATTTAATCAAGCTGAAAAATAAAGAGATGAAAAATAAACAGCAAGTACAGATCTTGGTCCACTGGGACGTTCAGATATTTACTTTTCATTATTAATTTAAATAACTCTTGTAGTTAATGGGTTTATGTTTTTTAAATGTGTTCTTCAACCAATTATCTGATTGTGCACTCATATATCTACGTGTGTGCTTTTTACAAGATGTTACATTATAATATATGCTAAATAAACCGTGGTAAATGACCAGTAACAGCGTCATTCATCAAGATCAGTGGTATCAACCCAAATAACTGCAGGATTTAGACAGCTGCATAGGTGGTGGAGACTGAGGAGAACAGCGCCGAAGCCGAGACTGATTAATAAGGATGTGTGTCTGGTTTTTGCCTTAGTGATCAAGAACCTGATACTAACTTTCACTTGCTTTTTTCTCCTCCTGTGACTGTGTGTGACCGTTATCTGAAGTAATACAGCATACTCAACTCTCTCAACTTGGCTCATGGACTTTTATGTTGCTTCCAGGAAAAGAAAAGGAAAGAACACCCAATTAAGGTCCTGGATATTAATAGACAGCAGCTTCATGTACAAATAGCGCGCCATGAAAATAGTGAAAGCTAAATGTGATATAATTGGAACATTTGTCAGCTGGGAATTGACAGTTAGTTAAGTCATTCCCCTGAACAGCAATTGTCCAGTCATAGTTTAGCAACCGTAAGCCTTTTTTTCCACATGTTGAAATGCTGTGCATTGAGCTGTAAGAATGATACTCTACATTTAAAGAGCTAGAGGACTAACTAGCTCTACACTGCAATACAAGAAGAACGCTGTCTCTTTATTACCACATTGATCATCAGCTGGTGAGCATGCCAATTTTTTTTTTTTCCTGGGACATGCAGCTTTAGCCTCACTCAGCCTTTTTAGCATGATATCATGTACACTATGTAGCCATCAAATTCATATTTAAAATATTTCTCTCTTTTTTTAAAGTCAGCCAGAAACACCGTTTTCAACCAATTCATGGAGCAAACATTTAATTTTGCTAGCTTAATAAGCAAGCCAATAACAGTTGTCGTTTCAGCCGGGAAATGAGAAGCTTTTTTTGTGTAACTGTCTGAAATGAACAAACTATTGATTCAAAAATTACTTAGAATGTGGGAAATCCTCCCCGGTTTCATTGTAAAGTGCTGTGTGAGAATGAAGAGCTTTGATAATCAAACAAACTGCTTTTGAACATGTGACATAAAAAATTTAATTATCTATGTTTATTTATTTATTGTTATTTGTTTTCATAGAAATGACATTTTCCTTGTATTTACTTATACAGGCAACTGTGTACAACTGCACAATTGTATGTCACATTTTCAATTATTCCTCAATAACAGACATTTTGTAAATGCTCCGCCTGATGTTCCTCTGTAAAAAAGGATGGAGGAGGGGAAAAAAGGCCGTGCAGAAGATATATCTGCTCATGACAACACGTTCTGACACATGACAGATTCACACTGCTGTAGGATTTACTGCTCTGTAGCCGCACACACAAAACTGTTTAACGGGAATGATAGATTGCATACTGCACTCACTTCAAGCACAGCATTTGGTGATAGAAACAGGACAGGGAGGATTGGCAGATGCAGCAGAACAGCATTCAGACTTATGTGTTCACATGCATTTACACTAACAAGCTGATGACTCATAATAGTTCAATCGATAACAACTTCTGCAGCAGTTCTGTCTCTACAACTTAACTAGGAAAATAATATCACCCACAGCACGTCAATTGTGTGACTCATAGAAACACAAGAGAAGAACAAGTCTAGAGTTTTCCTAAACCAGAATGGTTGCTTGATGATTTTCAGGGTCACAAGCATAGACTGTATATGAGAGTTGGACGTAGTCATCGTAACGTCACCCGTTTGTTTGTAGACTGCCGTTTTGGAGGCTCGAGTTTGGCCGATAGGGCGCCGACATGTTGAGTTTTTGTAACCAGCGGCACTGGACTTGACTATATTTGGACGAGAAGGTGGAGCTAACAGGCGTGTGTGGAGCTAGCTAGCATGCTTCGCTAGGTGTATCTATAATTCACGTTCACTGTCATTTTAACAGGGCTGAAAACTAAATGTACTCACCAGAGAAAGTGAACAGCCAACTCCTAGTAAGCTTTTTCAACGGCGCTGGTTAAATTTACACAGTGCCGAGGGTACGAGTCACTCCAGCCTGATTGACAGGTCGCCACGACTTGTCAATCATAGATAATCGCGCCCTGAAGCATACTCTGCTTTATGGTCTATTTTCCTCTAAATGGAACAATCATTTACTAAGTGAATTTCATGTTGTATTGAAGAAGACATCAAACTAGCGATTGAGACCATAAACTCATTAGGAAAGTGTTTACTGAGGTAATAAATCAGCTGAGAAGTAGGGTCATTTTACCATTATTTCAGATGGAACTAGACTTCTTTTTGCAACCAGAAGAGTCGCCCCCTACTGGCCGTTTGATAGAATGCAGGTTTGAGGGACTTCACGTCTCAGACCGGAAGCTTCCTACTTGGTCACAAGATGATTTCGGGATGCAGAAAATTTTTTCTAATTATTAGGATCCCCATTAGCTGATGCAAAGAAATGAATCCGCTACTCTTTCTGGGGTCCACACAAAACACATAACAAGAATAAAAATACACTACACAATCAATACACAGATTAAGAAATTACAAGAAAAAAAGTAGTAGTAGTAGACAGAACAAATGTACAACATAATAAAACAACAAAACAGCCAATTTCCAAGGAATAAAAAGATTTTAAAAAATGTATGATAGGCTCTATTTACTAATATAAGCAGACATGAAATATTCCTTTACTTGTTTTTTAAAACCAATATTATTTTGAGTTTTAACAAGATGACCTGGAAGAGAGTTCCATTCAACCATAGATCTATACAGCACTGTGCGTTGTTTTGAGTTTGTTTTGGATTTTGGAATAATATATTTACCAATTATGGCATGCCTAGTGGGGTATTACAACTCAGAGTAAGTTACCTATACAAACAGTCAGGAGTTTTCCATACATTAATTTTGTTTATAAAGCCAAGAAATGATAGTTATAACCTCTCGTCAACCTTTAACCAGAAGAGTTTACAGTGCATTTTGTTAACATGTTAACTAGGGCTAAACGAGCGCTGCTGTCATCTGAAGCTTTGAAAACTGTTTTTGTGCGTGTTTGAGGGTCACTAGGGAAAATCAGTTTTGAAAAGATCATGTCCAAGCCTGCACAGTGAAGGACCAACAATATCTGTGCTCCTTATGGAGGCTTACTGTTATTTATACCTAATTCTATCACAAGCTTAATTTTCAGATATGAAACATGTCAAGGAAATGGCAAAAGTTGCTTTTTGTTTTGTTATTCACTTGACATTTTAACTATTTAGACAACATATTAGTCTTCTTGACAATCTGTTAGCACTTTCTTGGAAAGCAGACACAAGCTATTTTCTCCCTCTCCGCAGCTGTCAAAGTAAGGGAGACAATGTAACACTTTATATTATGTGGGCTTAAAATCCTCTCATCCCTCATTCTGTTCCATTGATTTCATCCAGTGATCCTATATCTGTGGGACTCGGGGCGTCATCGGGAGAGCTCTCTACATTAACAAGACTCATAAAAGCACAATAAAGTAAAGAGTAGAGGAAGTGTAAAAATTCACAATAGCTTCTTAATTTTATGTACTTTTTGCACTTTTTTTTTACGAACGCCCAAGTGATTCAAATATAGTATCTCTGTACACTTGTTTACTTAAATTAAATTTAAAATCCAATAAAATCGAGCCAGATGTTTTTTGCTCTAGGCACAGTCTAACCTATATTCCTCTCATGGATGCAGAGCGGTTGGCATAACACAAAACAAGTCTGAATAGTTACCTTTTAAAACTCAGATGAACTTGCAGGGTGAGAGGTATACACACTTTCATGTTCGGCTGCCCTTCAGGCAGTGGTGTATTTATCTGGAAACATGCGCCTTTGTCTCACCCACAGGTTTATGGTGTATTTGAAGTATTTCGATTTAAGGTCAAGCTCAAGTTTCTGTCTGTCTTCGTCCGCTTGCACGTTGCCCTGTCATTTCAGAGTTGTGTTGCAACTGCTGGCGGGCAGGGCAGCTGTGAAAGCTCTTGATTTCCCCAGGGAGATACACTGTTGCTATGCCCACGCTTCAAGATTACCGTTACCATCTCACAAGCTCACTATGGCACTGTACACTTTGTGCCGCAAGTTTATTTTTAAACTGTTGTGGTGTATATCACAAGGCAATCGACTACTTTCCTGATACATTTCAGGGTCAAAGGTAGCCACATTTTAATGCTCCCAATGACTCATAACTCTGTTTGTCTCGTCGCTTTCATCAGGGATCTTTTGGAAGGGAAAAAAATCTATGACTCCCACACTCTTATTCAAACTACATAATCCTCCATTTTACAAATTAAAACAATCTTAAAGTAGGCCATAAATTTGCACAAAGGGTACAAAGGGACACCTTTCCCTGTATAAGCCAGTAATCTTATTGGACTGTACAAAAATGATTGAAGTGGGGAGAGGGGACTAAACCTTATGTTTTTTTCATGTAATAATGTATGCATAGGTGTCCTTAACACTGGGACGCTTGGAACATGTCCCCATCACTTTTTGAAATGGCTGATTTTGTCCCCATTTCTGTCAGTTGAATACCAAATGAAAATGCTTTTAGAAAGGTTTATTTGCACGTTAAGAAAACATGCAATGTCATTAAAATATAGAAGAAACTTATGTGCATTGACCAAAAAAAGGAACTTAAGCTAAAAACAAGCTACTGATTATAAAATGACCCAAAAACCTGTGGCACCAGTCAGTAACTTTAACAACTTCTTGACAGTTTCTTTTTGGACAAGTTTTCCGCTATCTCCCTCCATTTTAATCTGTTATTTATATATTTTGAAATGTCAGATGCTTTTACATAAATAAAAACATTTCCACCATAAATTGGTGCAGAAACTTTCACCAGAATGCAGGAAATTAAGTGTTTGAAGATCAAAAGGGGAGGGATGGACCCCCAGAACCCCCGCTCATATATCTCAGCATTGAGGATATGTATAAAACTCTGTTTAAGGATCTTTTTGTCTCATTCTCGTGAACCTAATATTGCATATTGTGATGTCTCGTGAGTTAAGTGTGTCTTCACACCCCTAATCTGAGCCCCTTTGCCCCCCCCCCACTTTTCAACACAAAGTGACGCCCTTAAATTTATGTAACTATATTTAGTGTTGTAGTACTTGAGACCGAGACCGGTTTTAAGGTCACTTTTTGATGGTCTTGGTCTCATCTCGGACTCGACCGCATTTGTACTCGGCCTTGTCTCGGTCTCGGACATTGAGGACTCGGAATTTTATGTCAAGACCAGTCAAAACCATAACTTTGGGAATATCAATAATTTGCTTTTGCATAGTCTGATTTATTTGTTAACATGCTAACTTTCAAATGCAACCAAATAACCCTAATTAAAAATGTGTTGTTACCATTAACGTCACTCATCGCTGTGATGGTAAGCGTGGAAAAGGAGGGTTGAATAAAGATGCTTAAGTTGAATTCAGCTGTGAATCTTTCAGATCAATTTTATTGTCTGTCATGTATTTTGGGGAACTGGTCTTGGTCTCAACTTGGTCTCAGCCCTTAAAAGTCTTGTTCTTGTCTAGGGCTCGATAAAGTCTGGTCTTGGTCTTGACTTGGTCTCGGGGTTGGGCTGTCTTGACTACAACACTAACTATATTGCAAAGGAAGGCTGAAATAAAGTATTTTTCTAATCTTTTCTAACCCCGTGTGCCCACCCCCTTCCACCCAAATAATATTTGTACAGTTCCCTACACAAATGTCATCTGGTTATGCAGAAACAAAACCCTAATAAAAAACCCAATAAAAAAAAACATCTTCATCACTTGAAATAATAATAAGAAATTCACATCGGGGTGTCAGCATTATTGGATGAAGGTTTAATATCTAAATCCAATATGCAACAAAGGCTTTTCCTTGATTCCACAGATTTCCTGTACAGAATGGGGCTTCAACAAAACACAATTGGGAAAAGAACACGTTGATGCCCTAAAAACAGGGTTAATGCAGGATGATGCTTGAGTGACAGCACATTTGGTAGCAGTGGTGAAAGGAAATGCATGGCTTCCTTTCAAAAACAAAATGTGAGTAAACAATGAAATTAAGTTTAAAAATCTTGGGCTGTAGCCACAGCTGTTTCAGCCACTGTCTCTGCTCTCTTAGCCGAGACCTGGAAGCCAGGATGATGCATTGTCAATTTCTGCTATTTAAATAGTTTAAAAATCCATCTCCCTCA